TATTACCCTTCCCAAGTTTTGTTCTGGCTTGCACAATTGCCATTAGCCAAATATGGATATTAAACATGTGAAAGGTGGTTAGGAAGATGAAGGATGTCCATTTTCATTTCATTTTAATGAAAGTGGACACATGTGACTAATCACTAATTACAGTAAACACAGCAAGTCTAAGGGTTCTATTAGAAGTCTTCTGCTCCTCTCACTTCTAAATCTATCTTTTAGATTCACACCATCAGTAGAGATATGTAAATTTCTCTCATTTGTCCAGTATACTAGCAAACCAAATCAACTACCCAGCAGCAGCTCGGGGAACTTCACATACATCATTTTGAGGACTTGTAGTATGTAGCCACTTCCTAATTTCCACTCATCTAAAAGGAGTGACCCAGTGTAGTTGAAGTAGTGCTGGTCTTTCCAGCCAACCTCCCTTTAAGTCTGCATTGTCCCTCCTAGGGAATCGTGCACCTCTGTCCTCTCCCCCACCCTCTCCATTGGTCCCAGAGCCCTCCACCTCCTAGGTTCCCAAAGCCCTCCCTCCCCTGCCAGAAAATCTAGACACCTTAAAGAGGAGTGCGGTGGAGCACCGGGAGGATGTCCACTGTGCACTCGATTTCAGACGAAGACACTGAAACTTACAGCAGTTTCTGGTTTCCTGAAGCCTAACCACACACAGCCACTTTACTTCGTCCTTTCCCCCTGTTTTAACCCCTGGCCTTATTGCCAGTGTCCTTTAGGGTTTTGTTTTATCTTTTTTCCGCCCCTCTCTAAAAGGTCAAAAACCGAACGACTAGCTAAACTGACCAATGGATTTTACACGGGCCAATGCACATTTATCGGTGGAGCCCGCCTCCAACCCCCTCCTCCTTTTCCAGGATTCTTTGGGGGGGGCAGTGTCAATTTACAAAAATGGCTCCCTCAGAATTTCATGCTGTTCGGGAGATTCATTTAGGTACTTTACTGGCATTACAAATATTCCACAGCAGATATTTTTCCTGGAGCTTAAGCGCTTTGCACACACACACACACACACACACACACACACACACACACGCCCCACACCACACCACCAAGACTCTGGGTTGTAAATGAAACTTCATGGTTTGCATTGGTCCGAATCTCCGTCGTTATGGGGAGCAGAGGACTGATGTGTGTGTGTGTGTGTGTGTGTGTGTGTGTGTGTGTGTGTGTGCCACGATCACCACGGATCTCTAGTAAGACACATTAAACCCTGGCTCCTCCCCGCCCCTCGATCTTCCTCTGGCTTCCGACTACAGTCTGAAGACACCGGGGCATTTGGGAAGGATCTGCACATTCAAATACGGCACGGTGATCTCTCCCCACTTCAAAGCGCTCAGCCGGGGCCAGAGCACGCAAGAGCTACGGAAGACCCATCGCATTCCCAAGTTGTGCAAGTCGTCCAGTCCAGTCTGCAGAGATTCGGTGCCACGCGTCCATCCACCCTGCAGAACATAAAAGAATAATAAAGATTCCGGGCCGGCGGAAGAGGACGAGCATCACCTGCAGTCCGAGGCGTGGGAAACGCGGCCCGAGGGGGCGTTGTGAGCCGGAGAGGGGTGCACCGCGAGGGCCCGGGGCGCTCGGCGGAGCCCCCAAAGACTCGGCTCCGCAGCCGGACAGCCGGACAGACAGACGTGTGGACGGCTGCGGCCGTAACCGTCGCTCCCGGAGTCGGGAGCTCTTGGCAGCCACAACAGCCGAGGAGGCCGATCCAGCTGGAGAACCCCTTTGGAGCTGGGGGCGCTTGGAAAGGGGTGTGTGTGTGCGCGCAGGCGGGGCGCTGACGTCACCTCTCCCCCCCCCGCCCGCCCGCCCCCCACCTCCTAGAGGGAGGGAGTGGGGAAAAGAGGCAGCGAGCCGCCGCAGCTCCCGGCCGCAACTCTTCCCCTGGGCTGCTGGCTGCCTGGGCATGTCCTGACAAACTTGGCTTCGCCACCGGCCCTCGCGCGCGCTCTCCACCGGCTTTTTTGCTGCTCAACTTTTCCACCCGTTCGGAGGAACACTCTGGAGATGCGGCCGCCCGGGTCCCGGCAGCGCCCGCGGATGGCACCCTGGTTGGGGAGACGCTGAAGATCTCCAGGAGGCGAAGTTGGCGCTTCCAACACCGCTCTTAACAAAACACATCCACGCCGCGTGGGGAGCCGCCGAACTAGCCGGCACGGTGCAGCCTGCGGGAGCCCCGAGGACTGGGATACGTAGTGGGTGAGTTCGTGTGTGTGTGTGCGTGTGTTTAAAAAGAAATTCTTTCCGTTGAAACGTAAATAACCATGACACGGGGAGTTTGGTCTAGGCGAGTGCAGGGCGCGTGTGAATTTTCTAAGGCTCTGGGAACTGCACGCCCCTTGGGGGTCGTGGCGGCGCTCGGGAATGGAAGATCTGTAAGGCGTAGCTTTGGGAATGCAGGAAATACACACCGAGCGCTGTTGGAAAGAACTTCGGGAGCGGCGATGCCGTGGGTGAATTATTTGCGACCGTAACTTGATGTAGACATGGTGCCCGGCGAGGGCGCACCGGGGACCCGCGTGATCTGCAGGGGCGCAGCGCCCTCTAGGCCGCGCACCGAGCCAGGCGCGCCGCCGGCCGCCTTCCCGGCTCCGCGCGGACCGACCACTCCGACCTGCCCCGCATCCCCGTCGGGCGGCTTGAACCCCACCACCTTGGCTGGCCAGGCCCCCTCCCCCCAGACTTCACCTACCACCCACCCGGACCCAGACTTCGTATAACTTCGGAAAAAGCCCCTTGGTTGGACTGGATGCTGAAGCGGGGCTGGGGGAAAAGGGGTTTTGTTTGGGGAAGCAGTCCACCCCCCCCCCCATTTTCCTTGATCCTCTGGGGCCCGCGTTAGGGAAGACTTGTCTGTTTAACGGACATCCCCCACCCCTCTCTTTTTGTGAAGGGAACTCCGTAGATAGCCAGACACTCAATCTCCATTTCAGTCTGTTAGCAGAAAGGATCGGTGTAACCACGACCGCAGCCTCCGACTCTCAGCGGTTCCCGTGGCGGCTGGGAAGTACAACTTCGAGGCAATCAGGTTTCTCCGGGAGCCTGGAAAATCGGGGTTCTCAAACCGATGGCCTGGTTCTAAGTAAGTGGCAACGTGTCTTCACGAAGGGTTATTTCCTCCATTTAGAGAATTCTGCGATTTTACGTTACAGGATGGTATCTTGGAACTTTTTTTTTTGCACACTCTTCTCTCTCGTTCTTCCCAAGGACCTCGTCCACCCCCTCCCCCCCACAACTCACCCCCCATCCCCATCTCCTACGGCTGGCGATGTAGTGTGGTTGTGTTTTGTGGAGAGTTACAATTCTGCACGGGGAGCAAACTGGCTGCGCCTGGAGATCAGGTTACCCACTTTCGAGGTGTTCCATGCATGAAATTGACCTGTAACTCCTAGAGTACTTTGCGCAATCGTGGCCCTGATCAAACCAGTCGTTCGATGATGGTGTTTGTATGTACTGGCTGTGGGACTTGGTGGTTTTTTTTTTAATAGTGTGCAGAGCATATGGCGCGACGAAATCAGCATGACAAGGCAGACCACTTTCCTCCTGCTAGACACCATTATTGTTATTATTTTTTCCCCAATCACCTTCTTTAACCTGGCTTCAGAAATGTCGGCTGTAACTTTGAACCAAGGAAAATAGTCTCCAGTCTCTCTTGCCCTCTCCTTTGCTTGTGGTTCCCGCGGCAGCGCCCCCACCCGTCTCCAGGGAAACCGGGTCTTTTTTTTTTGTCCTGGCAGTGTTCGAACCCCACAAACTTTCCTAGGTCATGCCTGCCCTCGAGGCCGAGTGTCAGGGCGCCATCTGAACCCGCGTCTGGAACCTTGCGGGTGTCTGCGAAGGGCTCCACGCCCCGGGTCACGCAGATCAGCTGCTCCTGCGCGAGAGGGAAGTTTCCCGGCGTGGGGCGCCTGGGCCCCCCGGGGCTTCCCTTTACTCCCCGGGCAGCTTTGCGCACTGACTGGGTGGCTGGGTTCACCGTTGGTGAGCTCCCAGGAAAGAATGAAGGGCCAAGAATGTGCACGAGGCGGTTCAGTGGCCTTTTGTCCTGCAGACTCGAAAGTTGGGGGTGTTGGCCCAGGGAGGCCGGCGTTGGGGGTGGGGGTCGTAATTAGTATCCGAGCGGTTCTGCGATCTGAGGGGCGATTCAGGAAGAGCTCTGGGAGGGAAGGCTCGGCGTGTTCCCAAGACTTTAAAAGTGTGAATTTCAGGAGGAAAAAGATTCCGATCTAATTACTTTCCTTTTCAGACCATCGGTGCGGTGGAGGCCGGCCAAACGCCGGCAGGCTGGGAATCACGGCATTCAAATGCAAATGGAGGGATTTCCTGGAGGTTCTTTTAAAAAAAAGGCATCCAAAGGGATGCGGTGGGGGCTTTTGCCCTAAGCTTAGCTCCACATTTATTTATTTTCACTTTTTCCTTTTCTTTCTGAGTTAAGCTCCCGTTTCCTTTTTTATTTTTAAAGCAGAAAACATTCCAGGTTCATTCTTGGCCTCTGGGTGGCTTGCTGGCCCTAACTAATGTGGGCATTGGAACAAACCCTAAACTATTCCTCACCGAGTCTCGGAGATCACCTTGAATGCTTGCTTGCTTCTCAACTCCGGGTTCGGGGTTGGCCGGGGGCGGGGGGGGTTGTTGGGGAGGAGGGGGAGGGTCTCTTGAACCCTGGACGGGGCGTGGCCGTCCCAGAGCCGCGGGCTGCAGCCAGAGCTTTGGAAAAGCGGGCTGGAGTTTCTGCGCTGGGGAAAGAAGCTCCGGCCGAGGAGGGCGTGGCCACGGGCGGAGGAATCTCCTCCGCGTGGAGAGCCTCCGTGAGGCCCCTGCACGGAGCGGGACGCCGGGGGCCGGGTGCGTCGGCGGCGGAGTGCGGCGGCGAGCCTGGCGCGCCGGGAGCGAGGCTTAGACCAGACCCAGCCACCAGACCACACCATGCGGACGTGCGGGCCCAGTGAGGTCCCCGGCAGCCCCGTGCCTGGCTCGGGGGCACGCTGAAGCTTCTGGGTGCTTGCAGACATTCCCCCCCCCCACCGCCCCACCGCCGTCGCCACTTGGGGGTGAACTTTGTAGTAAGTTTGCTGGCCGTGGAGTGGGGGCCGGAGGGAGAGCGGGCTGAGGCGCCGCGGGGCGGCTGCCGGTGCCAGGCCGGAGCCGTCGGTGCCCAGGCGGCGTGCAACTTGGCTGCTGCTGCTTTGCAGACTTGCAGCTCGGTGATTACAACTCAGGACTGGTCCCCCCCCCCCAAGCCAAGGGAGGGGGAAAATAAAAGGCGATGGACGAGAGAACTCCGTGGCCAGGTGGGGGGCACTGGCGCCCTCCTTCCCACTTTGGAAAGTTGCGTCTCGGGCCCCGGATTCGCGGTGGCCGGGGAGAACGCGGAGGCGGAGGGGAGGGGGGGCGGTTATTGGCGACGGGAAGGGAATGGTAATTACCGAGAGGAGTCGGTGGCGGCGGCGGCCGGCCCAGCCCCCCCGGGTCTGCTCCGCGGAGCCATTGCTGGAAACCTCAGCGGCGCGGCGCGCGCTGGCGCGGGGCTCCCGGCGGCCCGCAGCTCGGACGCTTCCCGCACGCGATCCTCCGCGGTCACACCCCGCGCTCGACGGAGCTGCTCTCTCTGACCGTGTCTGCGACTTTTAAATGGAAAAATGCACGTATTCTTTTCACGTAGATGATGATGGTAACGTCCGTGGCCAGGGGGGATCTTTGAAATGGAGTCGTGGAGTTCGTTGTGTGTGTGTGTGTGTGTGTGTGGACGGTGTGTGTGTGCGGGAGCTGAGGTTTTTAAGTGCAGACACTTTGCGGGCTAGACATGGGAACAATGTGCGGCTTGGCAGGGGTTTCTCTGTGCTCTGGAGGAGAGACTTGTATAAGGTCTTCATTAAAGGAAGAGATTGCTTCCCCACCCCACCCCCTCCGTGTGCACACTTTTAGGAAGCTAACTTTCCCAGGTCTCTTCTGGAACACCCCCCCCCCTCCTGTTCACACCCCGTGTGAACTTCTGGACTTAGGAAACAAGGACGTAATTGTATGTATTAGGAAAGTAAACTCATAAATATTTTCTATGCAGTTAATTTTTTTTTCTCCCCAGGTCTAAACTGGTTTTGTTAAGTGGCTTTTGTGAAGCAACTCCCTGGTGCCTGGTAGAGGAGAGGTTTGTTTTTTAAACTGAGTATTTACAATGACTTGTTAAGATTGAGAAAGATGTTAAAGGCGCTTAGCCTTCGGTTACTTATTTACCTTTTTCATATTCCTAAGGGCTTCATATCTTCCGTGTGTTAATTGTTCCAGAAGATATTTGCTTGTGTTAAAACTACACTTCCAGTTGTTACCTTGAAAAGGTGCTATCCAGATCTATTGGTGAATTCTGGTGTTTGTCTTTGTCTTAAGAGGACCGCTCTGGTTTCACAATTAGAATGATCCCTGGTTGTGTATTTAAGCTTTAAGATAAAAAAGCACTTAAAGTATTTTTTTTAAATATGTAATTAAATTATGTCAAACCTGGCATTTAACAAAGCTCAGCATAAGTTTGGATTGCAGGTTTGCATTTGTGAACCCATTTCTTGAAGTTATATGAGCTTATTTTTGTCACTAGAAGGAAATAAGGTTGTTCAAGGACTTGGTAAAATCGGTTAGACTACTGATATATATTGATTTGTTTCTAGGAACATCTATGGGTTCTCATTGTGTGAATAGCCCATTTAAATGTATGTTAGAAATATATATCCAGTGTGGACATTTCAAAATGAAATCCTCATATATAATTGATGGATGCTGATTTTTTTTAAAAAGGGCTACAAAAGAAAAAGTATGACCAAACTTATACTACATTCATTCTCCTGAACCTCTGCCTTTATAGTCCATCCACTTTAAGCATAGCTCATGAGTCACCTTTGGAGTAACCATTTCTTTAAACATTGGAAATGAAAAGAACCTTAACAATTATCTTAAGAGATCTGTTACTCTTATCATCATCAAGTAGGTAGGCTTGTTGACTCATGCCTATAATCCCAGCTCTTGGGAGGCTGAGGAAGGAGGAACAGGAGTTCAAAACCAGCTTGGCTATAAATGGATTTCCCACACAAACAAACAAACCAACAAACAAAACATTCTAAGATGTGTTTTCTATTCAATAGTCAGTGGTCCAAATGAAATTAATCCACTGTTTTATTAACCAAGGTTGTGTATGTAGTCTACTGTTGTGTTTCAGTGACTAATTTGTGGCCCAAAAGATTTGGTTAATAGAGGAAACTGGAGTGGGAATTTTAAGTAGAAGATGTTCGATGCGAATTATGTCCATAATGAAGCCAAGCTCGGTTGGTCTCAGTTATTCAGTTCAAAGATGTCTTAGACTTTGGAAAGGAATTTTTTAATTGGTGATATACATTAAGGTCAAAACGGTGAGGGGAATTGCAGTCATCAAACTCGATACGTATTCTACAAAATTAAGAAAATTTGAGGGAGGGAAGGGTTGAAGTTGGGAGAGATGAGGGAGAATGATGAATGCACGATCTTGACCAAGAAGAGTCCTTGTATTGTAATACTGCTTTGTTGAAGGGCAGATCCTTTCTCCTCTCTTTTGTAAGAGGAGTATTTCATTTAAAAAATGTGCACAATTTAAAAAATGTGCACAATTAAAGAAGGAATCTATATATTGTACATTTTAGATGTTTTTTTAAAACCCATCGTTCTTTTCCTGAAAAGTCCCAGATGCACATCTGACTCCAATTCTTGCTTAATCCCAAGGGTTCATTTTATATGTGGAGATAAGTCTAGGAAATGAGTTGAATGTTCTCTACAAACCATTTCAGAAATCTTTCATCGAGCATTCAGGCCTGTGATGCGATCTGTAGCATAGGGTTATTTAGGTGCCATCCTACCCAGTCTTGAAGCATTTTGAAGTGGTGGGTGACCTCTTTTGAAACTGTGGAAATTAAGATCCATCTGCACTTCTGTCACTGGCCTGTTGCTTGTGCCTGCTGGTTTGTGTTAGTTCTAGAGGGATGGAAGTATTATCTTCTTACATTATTCCCCCTCCTCTATGGTTATCTTCCTTCCCATACATAGCATCTTCCATTGTACATTCCATAGTAGTACTTTCCACTCTCCATTCTTAAGTCCTTTATCTTCCAGTCCAGCAACTGTGGTACTGGTCTTTGCCAAGCATTGGAACTATACAGCGGTGAACAAATCATATTTCATGCATTAAGGAACTTCTAGTCTAGTGAGGGAAGATAACTAATTATTCAGTTAATATCAATTGTAGGCTGGTCTGGACTGCAGTGTCTTACCTAAGCCTCCTACATTGCTGGGATTGCAAGTGTCCTACTTGCTTGTTGAGATGGGGTCTCACGAATTCCACTGCCTTCCTACTGGCTTTAAACAGTGCACCACGATCCTATTGATCTTTACCTCCCAAGTAGCTGGCATTACTGGCGTGGGGTTCCACACCCAGTAGAGATTTATTTTGAAGCAAAGAAGTACCTGTGTTTGTAGACTCAGCAGAAGGTCATTGTAGTGAAAGGATTGTTATGGTTCAGGTACAGAGCTAATTTGGGGAGAAGAAATTTAAGGCATCAGGATGTCTATTTACAGGTAGGGCATGTGTCATCTCTTGTGAGGTCTGAGCAGATAAAAATGGACCACGAGAACATTCAAGGAGAGGAAGGAAGGCCAAAGACTTTTTCCTGGATGACCCACTTTCTTCCTGTACACGGACAGGTTACATTCCCCGGTCATTATTCAGAAGTACCTAAGTTTACATAATAAAAACTTACTAATTTGGGAGTGGAAGAAGTAGCCCTTGGTAATTACTGACTGCTCTTTGTGTGAACACACCGAGTGAATGATTTCTCTTTGCAGAGAAAAATAGATCAGGTGAGATGACCTTTTTATTTTTATCTTTGTTTTCTTTTTGTGCCAATACTGGGGCTCGAACTTAGGGCTTGGGCACTGTCCCTTGAGCTTTTTCACTCAAGGCTGGCCTCTACCTCTTGAAACACAGCTCTACTTGGTGGCTGGTTAATTGTAGATAAGAGTCTCGTGGTTTTTTTGCTCATTCTGGCCTGAGCCACGGACATCTGGCTGAGTAAGATGATTTTAAATCACAAAAGAAAGGTAAATGGCTGGTTTATGGAGCTGCTCTTTGGGCAAAACTTGTCCTGGAATGTATGTGTAGTGTTGGGAGATGAGAAGATGAGCACTGTACACTGGTCATGCCATTATATTTTGGACTGATTAAATTGTGTAAATATGCAAGTATTAAATTGTAGGGAAGTTTTGTATTCCTACTCCGTTAGTTTGAAAACTAGTCTCAGCTACACTGGAATCAATTGTTGATGATTTGAAGGTAATTCTCCATCTCTCTTTCACACTATTACACTATCATACTATCTACCTATCTATCATCTATCTATGATTCATGCATTAGTTTTGTGGAGGGAGATTTCACCATGTCATTTCCACCCACAAACATATGTATTCCAATCAATTTCTCCCTATTACTCTTCCTTTCTCCCTTTGCCTCCTTCCTAAAACAGTTTCGACTGGCTTCATTGTGCTGTTTTCATACATGCAACTAAATGACTCTGACCATCCTCATTCACGCTCCTTGTTAGTCCAGCCCCCTTCTCTTAGTGCCCACTTTACCAACAGAGCCTACTCGGAGGTAATATTTAACTTGAGACCTGCTAGAGTAATCACATTTACTGCAGCTCCAGTCAGAACCAACAACCTATAAGTGGAGTTTTCAGAAGAAATCAGATTATATACACCAAGCCTAAAGCTGCTACTTAGTTTCTCTTCCCATTTTTACCAAAAATTTTAAGATAGTTTTAAAAGAATTAGTATGCACCTAGAAAATAAACAAGATCTACTAAGTTTTCAGTGTAAGAATAATAGCTCTTAAAAGTATTGCCTGGCTACTATAACTTACTAGAAAATGGAAAGGTTTCATTTCTCATTTCAGTGTTGCTGGAAGCTATGAATTGAATATAAATAATAAACAAGTTTTTATTTTTGGTGAAAGTTTTCTGAAATTTTCTTACTTTGCATGACCTTAAAAATAAACAGT